AGATGAATTTCAAGAATTACAAAAATTAATAATGTTATTTCCATCGATTAGTTTTACTCGTACAATAGTAACAGTTATTGACCTTTTTAATTTCCGTATTTTATATAATTTCTTCTTATATAGCTATATTCAGTATCCAAATTAAAAGCAAAACAACGTCTCTTGAATAGTTTGCTTGGATCACTGTCGAAATTGACCTTCTTAAACAATTTGGTAACGGCGTCATCACTGGTTTACGATGTTCGAATTTATATATTAAATCATTTCCAACAACAGAAACTTTAAATACAATAAACCTAGCTGATAAATCCATGAAAAGTTGTCATAGAAAACAGTTTTTGGGTTCCCACACCCTCAAATCACAGTCGGGAAGAAAACGAACTCGTACATATTGTAGAGCAACCCAGGACGCACAGTACGGTCCGTATACGGTCGTTGGCAGTTACGTTACGACTATTTTCCGAGTGAAAGTTTTGCCGTAATATCTGGCGCAGTAATACGGACCGTATTATCATGAGAGTACGGAGCACAAACAGCCGTAAACCATGAAAATGCAGTCCCGTTTACGGTGCCGTATTACTGCGGCAGGTATTACAGGCAAATACGGCCTATTTACTGCCGTAAATATATCGTTTTGGCATCGTTTACCGTCGATAAACAGACCCTAAACGAGTCCGTTATGATCAACCTGGGAAGTTTCGCTCTATAGAACTGCTAACGACAACATTCTGATGAATTCTGACTCACACATAGATTTTTTTCAAACACTGTTCCCCACTAGTGCATTGGAAAAGGACCTAGTAGTCCGTAAAAATTCTATTAATTCCTACGGATTCTGAAGATGTGGTTGACTTTAAAATTCGAGTGAAAAAAGTGAATTTTCATCAACTTTTTGAAAAAAATGCTTTTCTTATTTACTGTAATAAAGAAAAGTGTACTTTTTGTATTTGACCTGTATCTTCGTAAAAATAGAATTTATTTCAAAAAAATTGATTACCAAAATGATCAGCACAAAATTCTCTACAAACCCTGTAACTTTGAATGAATTCTGGCTCGGTCGCCGGATGGACCTGATGGTTTCTGGTGGAATGACCCATATATATGAATCTGTTTTCATTATGCTTAATAATTTGAAATACATACTAAATATATCTAATCAACTATTTTATCTAGCAATTAAGCCAGCTTTTAATCATGATTATTCTTTCAATAAACAATATTCTCTGTGCAAATTTCTATAACATGTATTTCATTGATAAAATGTTTTCATGAATAAGACTCTCGTTTTGAGCAGCAGCTTGACATTGTTTCAGAGTAGCTACTGAAAATAAAAATCCGCTTGATTTTCATTATAAAACTATCAAAATGAAATTGTAGAGTTCATGTATTTTAGTTACTGAGTTAAATAAAAAGCACTCAATCATGAGCATTACATTCAAGATGAAAACACATAATACTCAGGTGATATGTTTAAAAAAAACAATCAAAAACTTTAACTTATTTATGGTTTTCATCTAATGAAAACAGTGATCTAGATGTAAGATCATTGAGTAATAAAAAGAAAGTCTGATTTGATGATGAATCCTCTATACCATTATGTTTACCTGGAAATAAAATTTTCAAGAAAAGAGATTATAGGATAGATGCTTCGATCTATATTTTGTATTGAATTGAAGAGAATTAATTTTAGAAAAAAAATCTTTTCTCTATTGACTATTTTTAATCTTTATTTTGATTCAATCATTCCTACCACTCGAAATGAAGTCATTGTTTGTCTATATTTTCCATAGTCTTCGAACGGCAATAAAGTACTCGATGAAAAAGAAAACAAAACTGCAACTCAAGCAACGCTCGAGAAACAGAACGCTGCGTCTTGCCTGATTCTGAATCATTTTTTGTATATAATCTCATCCTCCATAATTGTACCAGTATTCTTTTTTTCTTTAAAAAAATTAAATATTCTAGAAGTTTATGTTGAATAGTTATATTAACACTTTTGTTTCGTGACTTGCAGCACACAATAGTAAATACCCGAGGGGCGACAGTCAATCATTCGGATGCAACTCTTTTGTTTCATATCTGATTGAAATCCAAAGTACGATTGATTCTGTCAACTTTTTTGGTTAACGTGTCAGAATGAATTGTTGTATTCAAAAAAAAACATTTTTATAGATAAGTTAATCAAAACTAAAAATAAATATTGCATAGGCTATTTTTGTTTCTATTTACTAATTATTATTGATTTCGAGATAAAACGGTTTTTATGAGACAGTCAAAACTTTACCGTGGAAAAATATTTGAGATGTCAACAGCCACTTGTAAGATTAGATTGTAAATTACTGCATAATAAAGACATCGTGTTTCAACTCTCGTTTTTCGCATATATATATATATTCTTCAAATGTTGTGAAGCTTTCAACAAAAACACAAGATTTTAGATGTGCTCTTGCCACATTCGCATGATCACAGAAAATTTTTCTTTTTTTCCAATTCAAAGTCATACTCAGGTTTCAATCATGACTAATGTGTCGAGTAGTAGAAGAATTTGCAAAAAGCAACTCAGAGACTGAAAATTAATGGACTTTTCGCTGCATCTCGTGCAGTCAACAATCGCCTTTGATAAGAAAATGTCTAGTGAAACTTCATAAAAATGCTGACGATGTTCTCTTTAATTAATTAGTTGTTTAATGAAAATAATTCAGATTCGATACTCGAACAAATTTTACTTATTTGTTTCGATTTGTTTTCATTAGACAACAATGTCAAACTATATTAATGCAGCAGTCAATCAGCACAGGCCGAATTTAACGAATTTATACGTGAAAAATTTTGGTAAAGATATAAATGAAACAGAACTATGCCAACTATTTGGTACTTACGGTATGATAACAAGCTGTAAAGTATGCAATATAAATGATTATGAGTTGACATGATAATTATTCTCGTTTTATTGTTAGATTCAAATGGATAATAAAGGTCAATCTCGAGGTTTTGGTTTTGTTAATTTTGAAAGACCAGAAATGGCACAAAATGTCAGTTGCTTAAATCAACTTTTGTTTTCAATATAACTATTTTCTTTTTATGATAAGGCAATGATGAATTTAAACGGGCATGTATTGGATAGTGGAAAACAGTTGTATGTAGGATTTTTTCAAAGTAAACCTGAACGTCAAAAAGAAATTCAACGTATTCGCGAAGAAAATCATCGTAAACAGTCGAATAGTCTAACTCTGTATGTTAGTAATTTGGATAGATCGATTGATGAAAAACTACTCGAAGTTATATTTAATAAATTTGGGAGAATAACCCATACACATGTGAGTATAGATAAAAATTGACTAAAACTGTAGACAATTCTATTGTCAATCATTGAAGCTCTTGAGATATGGTAGTCAATCAAAAGGGATTGGTTTCATCTCGTTTAATACAACCGAAGAAGCGACCAGAGCTTTGAATGAAATGAATGGTAAATGGGTTCTATCAAAACCAATCTATGTAGCATTGAGTACAAATATTGGTGATTCACAATGGAATACACCTAGATCGTCGACATCATCTATGTCTGCAACGAATTCAACGTCTCCTGATACGCCGGAAATGCCGTATCTCAATATGCCAACGATGTTCTACGTACCTACATTTATGGTTCCCAGCCGATCAAATAATTATTCATTACCGATAGTTCCTCTCAATTTACAAGTAACATCAAATAGAGAATATTCTCCGAGATCATCATCAATGATGGCGTCATCCATGAATAACAATACAAATTCACAATTTTATCGAAATTTACCTCAAAATAATTAATCGTCGATGAAAAGATCTAAATAGTTTCTCAAATTATATTATTATTACTACTTAACTAACTACATCACAGACTTTTCCTATGAATATATTTTGTCATACCGCTACTAATTTTCAGTGACACAAAATTAGAAATTGTTAAAATGGTAACAGTCTAAGCTGTAGTAGACCTTTTATTATCGGATGGACAATGCGATAAAATTGTAACAATCTTGTTTCGGTCTGAACATTTTGCAGAAGATAAGTCCAAAAGTGAGGACTGATTCTGATTCAATTTTTCTTTATAGATCGATAATTAGGTTCGTATACACTGGAAAGCGATATTCAATGAGATAGCATTTGATCATAATGGTTCATAGAAAAGTAGATGACTGTACGTCGTGTGTGTTCTAATATGATTATTTCAAAATTTTGTAGTTCTTCTATTGTATCATTTTTTTTCTTTTTCTTCTCTTTCTGTCAAAATCTACAGGACTATTGGAATTTTATTTGATCAGATTGCTCGCATACTCAACAAAACAAAAAAAAACGTAATGTAACACAAATTAATCAACTTCGATGACATGTCAGAAAATTTCTTTGACAATCCTTATGACCGTGCATGCAAATCATTAGAAGGTTGTTTTTTTTGTACGCACTTTTCTGTACAAAGATTAATGGTATGCTTATTATGAGAGCTTTGTCATATTGTGTATATAGCCCAAGTATAAGATCGAACTAGCAATCTATAAAGAAAGGATTCAAAATACTCTGTAGCTTCTTATTTCGAAGAGATTTATTCAATAAATAATGACATAGATAGGCTACACAATGTGAAAGATATTCTATTGTTGAGTGCTACACAACGATTATTGCTGAATTTTTAGCTAATTATTTGTTTATACAAACATCTCTATTAGATTATTTTTATTGACTATCATCAGGCCTTGTCAATCGAGATCCTATGTTGTTAGTCTCAAGCATTATTCACTTACGGTTTAAATCAGTCCATTAGGCTAACGTAATCATTGGTTATTATCCATATTAGATCTACTGTATTTTAATATATTCATGATAATCTATTTGTAATCGATAAAATTCCATTATAAATAATATTCGCATTGCTCTTCAATCGTTTTGAATCATATATTATTTTAGTGATCGACTTCAAAAGATATTGATTAACAAACGTTTTGCTAATATCAACTGTTCATAAGTCAGAGTAAGCATTGTTGTCATCATCGCACTGGAGAAGATAATCTGCTGAACGGGTACAACTCGCGCTTTCGAGCAAAAACCTGTTTTAAAATATTCTCATCATTAAATCTATCATAGATTTATTTATACAACAGAAATATCTTTAATTGTTGAGTAATGTATAATCTTGTATGTTTTACAAAACTCGTTCGAATCAAACAATCAGTTAGTAATACAATCAATCTAGCACTTGTTTCTAATGATGAATATAACTGCTGATAATTATGCGGCTAAATTGTCATTTTATGTCGCGGTAAAGCAATGTCGAATCGATTTTTAACAATGTTTTCTTGTCCTCTGCCAGACATAATATTATACGTAGTGTCGTTATCATTAGTTACATATCTTCTGTTGTCATTGTCACCAATGTGTAGCCTGGTTGGTTTTTGTCTGTCAACGATGAAAAAGAATATTTCTCTTGTCGATGCTGTTATTTGTTGCTTTCTTTTATGGTCGTTTATATCGGTACTTTCAATAGAGTTCGCTATTTGATGGATTCGATAGGGAAAAAACTGACTGGAGGAATTAAGCTTTTTGTGGATTGGTTATTTAGACAAATTTTTTAATAGCAACCTATCATCGTGTAAACAAATACACAATAAATAGAGCTCAATCAAGATTTAGTATGTTCACCAGGAACTGTTGGAATCAATTTTTAACATTAAAATGATTATTTTCAAATGGAAATATGTTATTAATGGCCAACAATACAAACAATATAAGATCTAGTGCAATAATAACGACGAATAGTCAACCTAATAATAGCCCTTTGCCTTCGAGCGGGGTTCAGTCAATTCCACGTGATAATCGAGATCTTCTTCACCCTAAAGTGCGTATTTAATATTCAATGTCATAGATATATGTTTATTTGAATTAATATTAATTTGAAATTTAATTTTTTTCATCGAGATATTTTTTGACTTGAAAAAAAAATTAAGTTTTTCAAATTTCTCAGATGAAAATTATTACGCTAGATCGCACAATTATGTTACTAGGGGGAAAAGCGTAAATATTTATAATAAGCACTCAAACAATGGAGAATGTTTTATTTTGTTGTCGTGATCGAATAGGTACTTGTTCGTTGTAATTGAAATATTGTTTTTTTTTCTCCTTTGAAGACATTTTATATAATACAAAATCCGGTGTAAATTAGTCATGATGAATGCGTTTCCTTCTTCTTTTTTTACTCATTTACTTGAACAGATTAATATATAGAATATTTTTTGTGTTTAGAAATCAGCATTTTCTCCTAAATTAGCTGGTCTTGGAACAACACAAGATAGTAGCCTGTCATCAGATTCATATAGTATCAATCGACAAGTAAGCGTTTTCTGAATTGATTAATAATTCAATTTTTCTATTGTTATTTAATTAAATAAATTTGTTACTTTAGGGAAAATATATAATGATTTTTCTTTTCTATTTCCTCGTCCCCCTCAAAAACAAAGAAGAAAAACACAAACCGATTTTTTATTTGTATTAGCGAAAAAGAAAATGAGTTGTCTGTCATATAGACAAAGAAAAACGAGGGAGAACTAGACTTTGTTTGTTGTGTTAGATTGATAAGACGAGTGGAATTCGATGCGACTACATGGTGTGTTATTCGTTCTTTATGAGCGTCAAATCATGATTTGATGATAGTATTGTCTCTACTCTGTTACATCCGCGTGTGTAGAATTAACAAACATTCACATGCATTCTTCTTTTCCTTCGTCATCATTGTCGTCGGCCTGTAACACGATGTTCCATAGGTACCTATTTGCTATAATCAAGCAGAATAGAAGAACGAACGAAAAGAAAAAAAGAATGTTGCCACTAACCCATAGTCGGAATCAGGAGAAAGAGAATTAGTTTTTTTTTCATCATGGATTAGAGTAGACGATAAATATAAACGACGAAACTCTATTTGATTAATAGTAGAAAGTGATAGAATGAAAAATGTTGGTGTCGTCTGTTCGAAATGTAAAACAATATTCAGGTGATAGTGCTTATTCAACAACCACGGCTGTAAGTTTTATTTTACGTGATTACCATTTACTTTTTTTTGTAATCGTATGTTGTTTTACTTGATTGAGTGAAGAAAAGAGGAACATTGCCGCTTTGATATATACGTATATAATGTCAGGTCGTCATTTTCTAGTCTATATTAACGAAAGCTAATAATCTTCCTTCCCGGACTATAAACTCCCATAATCAACAATTAGAAAAATACAGAGGAAAAAAATTGCATACAACTACAGATCGATAGGTAATTAGTCAACCGAAGTAAAAATAGATTTGACAAATATTGATTGATGATAGAGCAGATGGACAAGAAAAGACATCAAAGAATTCAGCTGCATCAGAAATAAAGATGAATTTTCCTCTGCTCGTCAATCGTTTAATATTGGTTTGTATTTTGAAAATTTAATAAACATCAATTCCCAGTGGAATTCTAAAAGAGTCTAATTTCCCTAGAAACTTCTTTATTCTTTTATTTTTCTTTAGGGTTCAGCTGAATCGAACTACAGCCAACAATCATCAGAAAGTTTTGATGGCGACTCATCTGATATAACAAAAACTGCTGCAACTGCTACTGGTAGTTTATCACCTCCAATAAAACCTCGCGATCAAACACGTTCGGCAAATGAAGCACTTGAACGATGCAAAACAAAGCCAGTTGCATTTGCTGTACGAACAAATATTGAATATGTGCCATCGTCCGATGATCTTTGTCCTATTGCTAAAGCCGCTATTAGTTTTAAAACAAAAGAATTTCTCCATATAAAAGATGTAATCTATAAATGTTCATAAGAAGAAAAAAGAAAGTTTAAAAAAATATTCTTTTTCTACTAGAAATTTAATAATGATTGGTGGATTGGTCGATTAGTTAAAGTTGATGCATCACTTGGTTTTATACCAAGTCCAGCTAAATTAGAAATGATTCGTATACAATCCAACCGTAAAAATAAAAATCATCCAATTGGACTTGCAAATTCAACACCACGGTTGAAAGCGTCATCGCAAAGTATTTATTACCTCTTAATCATAATAGATGCTATAAATTCTTTCTTTATTTTATTGCTACCAAGGTCTTGATGTTATTGATCAAAATATGTCAGGATTCAACGATGAGATGTTTGGCAACGATGGTGATAATGATAATCTTACGAAATCTAGATCAAATGCAAATGCTAATAAAGATAAAAAAAAAAATTTTTTCAAAAAGGTAAGCAATTTTTCATTTGAAAATTATTAATGAAAGGATTTCTTGTGAAAGAGTACGAAAAGAAACAATCCATATTTGCTTATGATGTATCAAATTCTCCTAAGCGTTCAAAAAGTCCTACGTACTATAATTTTGTCAATCAAATTCAATAATCAGTAGAATTCTATTCTATCATAACTTGTTTTGTTTTTTGAAGCGGCATATTTGTAATTGTCAAAAAAGAAACGAGATAAATCCATATTTAAGAGATATTATTTGTCATTTATTTTTAGACTGTAAACATAACTCCATACGATGTGGTGCCAAATATGCGACCTGTTGTACTTGTTGGTCCGTCATTAAAAGGATATGATGTTACAGATATGATGCAAAAGGCTGTGTTCGACTATTTGAAACATCGCTACGACGGTCGAATAATTATAACACGTGTTACAGCCGATATATCTCTTGCTAAACGTGGACTTCTAAATAATCCATCAAAAATAGCTCTTATTGAACGTAGCGGAGTTAATACAGGTGGTGATAATTCATCATCGACAGCACCTGGCATAGGTTCAATGAGCGCAGCACGTGCGAATGGTATAAAAGAAGTTCACGATGAAATCGAACGTATATTTGAATTAGCACGAAGTCTACAATTGGTCGTACTTGATTGTGATACAATAAATCATCCAGCTCAATTACAAAAAACATCGTTAGCACCAATAATTATTTATTTGAAAGTCTCATCACCAAAAGTTTTACAAAAATTGATAAAATCCCGTGGAAAAAGTCAGCATAGAAACTTAAACGTACAATTAGTAGCTGCTGATAAATTAACACAATGTCCTACCGTATGTTCTATCGGATACGTGACCAATTTATATAGAAAGTCTTGTTTTGTTTTTCTCTCTAGGAAATGTTTGATTTAATATTAGACCAAAATCAATTAGAAGATGCATGCAATAGTTTAGCCATGTTTTTGGATACGTACTGGAATGCAACACATCCAAAATTAGATGAAAAAAATGATTTAACGAATGATAGTACATATGTACCACCACGTCCAACAGCTTCACTTATTGCTCATATACCGCCAGTGAATCCGCCGGGCTCTGTACCAGTCGTTACAACAGCTACACGTCTTCTTCCATCATCACCATTATTGAATGATATAACACACTCACAATTATCTGTAAATCGTTATGGAGCTGCAAACGTTGCAGCAAATCCAAATCCACATCCCAATCCTAACCAAAGAGTACCATCAGCATCTAACGCGGATTACTATCGACAAACAATAATACCACAGCCGGCAATTCCTGCACCTGTTTATGATGATGAAAGATTCGCCCATTATGAAATGGCTAATTTTCGATAATCATCTAGTCATGTTTGTTTTTTTACTATTCGACAAGTGTTGATCACTTGCATATGAATGTAAATTCATTCATTTACCTTATGTTGCCCTTTTCATTCTAGTCATTTGTTGTCAATCTACTGTCTTCTTTCTTTTGGTCTTAGTGCCTAAGATTGATTCTTAGCTCTCTACTTCTTCTTCTTCTCGTTCACAGTGATTATTAACTTTTCTTCTTTTTTTTTGCTTTTCTGCAATTTGTATACTAATATAAAACGATCAAGTGTTTTTTTTTGTCTTAAATGAATAAGAAAAATAAACTAAAGATTGGATAGTCTGATCTAAATCCAAGGGGAATATCTATTATCGAGAAAAAAACAAATCATATTAGATAAAAATTCAATCATTATCACAAATGTTAGTGAACGTTTCTCTGAGCATTTTATTTGAACGAATTTTATTCGACAAACATTTTATTTTTTTATGACAGAAGATAATAACATTTCGTCTCTATATGCCAAAAAATAATAGAAATCTTCCATTAGTGTCACTTTAGAATTGATTGAGAATTGTCTTTGTTTTTTCTAATGTTGCATATTTTTATTTCAATAAAGCAAAAGAAATTTTCATGAATTCATAACCTACAATCTAATAATGTTATATTACGAATAGAGATACGTTTTTTTTTTGTCGAAATTTTTCTCAAGTATAACAATAACGATTAACTATATATGTAGCAGTAATAAAAGTCTGGTGAAAATCAAACTAATATATGATGATCTTATATTTCCTGTCTCATTTTCAAACGAGAATGATATTGACTATCCGCTCTCTTCTATTCTCTTCTCTTTTTTTTGTTTTGTTATTGATCTTTTATCTCCTTTGCTTCCGTTTTCATGTGTACCAATTGACAATGACAATAATAGTAGTTGATTAAGCTTCACGCATTTAAAACTATGAAAGTCTTCGTACTAACAAATAGAATTTATTTAAAAAATGTAATACAGTGTAGTAATAATTGTTTTGTTCATTTGTCATCATCTACATGTTTCTGCTTTTGTTCTTTATGATCCTCATCTTTGCCGTGATCAGGTTCGGAGTGTGATTTATGGGTTACGACTTTTGTTGCTTCAGCACTCGGTACAATAATTTTATCATGATGGTGGTGAGGATGATGATGTTCAGATGTATTCGATACAATACCCAATTCAGCTTTCAACAAGTCTGCGGGATCACTCATTGGTGTGTAATAATTGAGAAAATTATTGATACTGTCAAGCAGTGCACACGAATTGGTGACTAAAGAGAAATCATAAAAATAGATTCTATTTTGCATATTTTTTATATCAAATAAATGAAAAATCATGATCGCACATTCTTATGCACCAAGGCGATTTATAGTAAATGTTAATACAGAAACAAAATCTTGAGTAAATAGTTGAAATAATGTTTGATAAAAACAAGAGAGTTTGTCACGATTGATGAATTGATGTATTACTCCTATTTTTAATTTTATCATCTACTACAAAATTTCCACCTCATCGTCATTCGTTTTATCATAGATTTCAAGGATATATTATCTCATATATGAAAAACTATTTCTAATCATACTTTGTCAAGTACAACCTATTTTTAGTGCACATTGACCTTTCGCCTATAACAATCTTCATAGTCAACAATTTGAAGTACTGCCTTTATTCTAAATATATGTTGTGCTACACAATAGAGCAAGCTGTTTTCGCAAAGAAAACATTTTTTTGTTCTATCCCTTTCTTGATCAATATACGTAGTATGCATGTGAATTAAAATTCGACGGAATTGTGTGCACAGGACTCGAATCCTTAACCACTTCATATACTAAAAATGAGCAATGGTGCCTGCGTTTGAATTTACAACTTACTTAAATGGATCTGTGACTGTAGGAAATCTCTTTTTGTTAGAGAAGATTCACATTGGTTGCTGAGTTCTGCTTGTGTAGAATAGTATTAAAAAGACTGGAATTCCCTCTTTCATACTCATTATAGTCTTTCGTATGCATAAAAAAAACAGAAATTTACGCCACCTCTCTTTCTCTGGTCCTTTAATATTTTTTATTGACTGAAAAAAATTAGCGTGTACAATTTTTTCTCGTGTTCTCTTATCAGCATAACGCATATCATTAGACGCGTCCTTGATCTAACAACGAATATTGAATATTTATTCTACGAGGTGATTCATTAGAATTTCAATGTACTCGCCAGATGGAAAGCGCCCGCTGACAGTCTATTTGTGTATAATTTAAATTGTTTTAAACGCGAACTAATAAATTCAATGTCTTCGTTACATCGATAATTCAAAAGTACTTTCCGATATAATACATGCTGTATGGGCATCGTACATTACTGACTTTCTCCCATTGGCCAAATATGTGAATATTCTTGTTAGTGATCGATTTCAGCAAATATTTAGCTCTATAATGAAAATGTACGCAACTATCAACTTCCAATCCATTTTCAGAGATGATACATTCTATGCCTATGAAATTTTCTTTCGTATTTTCAATATAATCTCACTTCCGGCCATGACGACCTTTCTCAAAAATGAATCAAACGAACAAATTATGCCACATGTAGTCAATATATTGCATATATTACTAATGCAGATGCAAAACATTGCAGAAGAGATTTCATTTAAAAAAGATGATCTAACTAATCAAGAATCAATCATTCAAGTCCTATTAGAATACGTAGATATGAATTTATTTGAGATTGGTAATGATATTCAACAAACTTTAATTGAAATCTTAGAATTCATTGGAACACTGGTTGATAACACTATATTGGTACTGCAGCTGCCCGATGTAAACTTTGTTTCGTTGATACTCAAATGGATTAAAATGAGCGGATTACCATTCTCCATTCAACGAGCAGGTATTCGTCTTTTATACAATATCGCGCGACATGAAAAGGATGTGAAGCATTAAATCAAGCCGATGCCATCAGCGTATTAAAAGAATTTAAACAACGAATATTAGATCGAACCGATGATGATGATACAACCTATGAAAACATGCGCTTACTCTTTTCGATGACAGTAGCATTGCTAGCAGAACCAAAAGAAAGCAAAATCGATGTCAAATCACTTGGAAAGGTACTCGATCAACTAATGTAATTAACTGTCTATACTGCACGAAAAACAAAAATCACAAATATGGTGATTTCGACATAAGTGAACCATTAGTAGTTTTCATGAAACTATTTGCCCATGACGATATTGTACACTATGTTATGAAAGATTCACAAGTCAAACAAATGCAAGTGCCATCGAAAATCGTCTTTTTTTGTGATCTTATGATGAAATTTCTAGGTGCGCTTGCCAAGGATGACGAGCTCCATCAATTAACTTTCACAGCACTCATGAATGCCATTTGGAGTATTTCATTTCATGATGATTATGTTGACAAACTTAAATCCAATGCAAAATTTCTCATGACAATCAAAATCTTAGATTGAACAGTATGTACCAAAGCGCATGTCTTCAGTGAAAAAGGCAGCGGTTGGTAATTCTGTGGAATCTCGACGAGAATAATCCAGGTTAGGGAAATCATACATGAAAAGGAATTGATGAAATCTTAATCTATTTTGTTTTGAATACAGCAAGAACAGTTCATGAAGTGGAGTTACCAACAATTGTGGCCGATTCAACGCCTCGGTCTTCAGTGGTCAAACTGGAAAATAAACGACTACGTATTATGATTAGCTATTCGCATGCGGATAGTGACTTTTGTCATCAGCTAGCCGACGCACTTGAAGAAGGTAGATTCTTTTCCTATAGGAGCTACTCAGCTGGCAACAATAGTTATCAACTATTTCACAGTAACGTACCTATATCGATTCTTGAGATAGACGTGTATGCGTAACAAATACTTGAAAATGATATTAATTTGTATGGAAAATTGATAATCGACGTGAGTTGTTAATGAATTGTCTATGATTAAAACTGAATGTTAATTCAATGTCGGATGCTTTCAGTGAAATATTTTCGTATTATGTCTATTTTTAGGAAACTTGTTTGCTCTCTGGGTTGACTTTGATTATTGTCACACGGATGACCTATGGGAAGAAATTGGTCAAACAATTGAAAACTGTGATATTATTCTTTTTCTCATGACCAAAGATTATCAAGCCAGTAAATTGTGTCGTCAAGAAGTAATGTATGCAAAAGATTCTCTGAAGAAACGGTTTGTTCCCGTTTACTTGACGCGTGATTTTCCCGCTAGTAGTTGGTTGGGTGTGCGTATTGTCGGTCCACAATATATTCGTTTTGGCAAAAAACCTTTCGATGTAACGGTGAAAGATCTCAAAAAACTTATTTTGGAAGAGAAAGGAGATAAAAACTTGAAAACGAAAGATTCTAAAGTGTCCGCAATTGAACCTCCAAGTGAAACTAAGGAAGACGAAAATAGCAAGTCGAATGAAGATTCGCCAAAACAGGATCCTGAGAATTCCAATCAATCCACGCATGAAACAAAGCCAATATCTAAACCTGATTCTAAACCTATTGAAACATCGAACTCGCAAGATATAGCTGATTGGTTCGATGGGAACAAAGTTCGTCCTGAACTGAAAAAAATGTTTGATTTTTAATGCGGCACGGAATTACTTCTCTACGGGCAATGCCTTCGACCAGACTGGTAAATTGAATATCTTGATGTACGAGAACAAGTCTCAAACCGACATAATACAACATTGTATCGTAACGAATTTGTCCGTTTAGTCTATGTAATCAATCCAGTGGAACCATTAAAGAAAAAGCGAACCTGGAATACATGTACGATTTTATAATTGTTTTTCTCTGTTTTATTCAATACTGTAAAGTTATTTTAATTACATGATTAGTGATATGTTTCTTGTGTGTATTCTCATAACCAAGAAATTCAATTCTTACAAATAGGAAATCCTGCAGAGTTGTAGAAAAAATAAAACTCCTTTTTCTCAGATTTATTTTCTCGTATGATAAATCGGATCCAAGCGATGTTGTCAATTGGCTTTCTTAAAATACAAATGCCTACGAACTATAAAGATTTCTATATATAATCATAAGCATTTCTTGATGTGCATTTGTAGACTCCATTTTACATACTGAAGTTTTCAGAAGAAAACGTGATATTGTACTTAATAATATACCCATCAAGGAGAAAAAATGTTAATTTTTAGAAATATTTTCTGTAGGGCATGCAAAATGTACTGAAAAAAAAAGAATTTTCAGTCCATCAATTTCTCTTCCTTAAAACAAACCTCTTAGTTTTACTCACGTAATGCTTTTCAATAATGCATTTTTTATTTTGTATGTAAACACATTTTTAATGTGACTAAAAGAACTATTTAGTACGGTGCGAAAAGAAAAAGCGAAGGCTGCTGGCAATTATATTTCTTTTTATTCAATTAATAAGAAAAAATCATTCTTTTTTTGCCATAACACTGCTTTTATTGTTATCGTAACAGAACACCATCATTCAACAGATATAGAAAATGACAGATACTACGTAGGGTTTTGCTTGGTTCAATATAATATTAAAAATCGATCATCAACTATTGTTTGTAGAGACTTCAGTGGATTCACAGAAAAACAATTACAAACACTTTTAAATATTGAGCACATTCGTCAACATTTAATGGAAGTTGGCTTGGTATGAATTCAATTTTCTTTCTATTAATTGAGTTATTTTTATTTCAATTAAAACAAGATTGATCGACATGGTCAAGTTACAACCAAACACGAGTATGAACGCAGTACTGTTAAACATCGTTCTAGACGACGTGTTATTTCAAATAAAAATATTGAAAAGTATTTTATTTTTGAGATAATTCATCTTTTCGTAATTTTCTCAATAAAGATTTCAGACACCTATTCATCGTGAATTAACAGCGGCAAGTAAAACATATTCAATAGAAAATAGGAATAACAACAAAGATTTAAATAGAATTCTAGAGCTAATGGATATTCAAAGTCAGGCTCAATCGATCAAAAACTTATAAGTTCTGCCGTTCGTCATACAAGAAAAGTTATTAAATATTATATTTTATTTTATTCTTCTTATCTATACCTTTATCAGGGAAGTAGATCTCAATCTCCAAAACGTTATTCATCAGCTCATCGATCATCACGTGCAAAATCTGCTTTGGACTATCGCGTTATCAGTCCAAAGGTGATATTCGTTTGTTATCTATAGTTTGATTTGGTCTTTTCATCATTGAACTGCATCCAATATTGAGAATACCCTAGATCATCGAAGATGTCAAAATACATTTGCAATAATAAAAAGAAAAGCAAACACGGCTAGATCTCTTGTATATTGAGCACCCTTCGATGAAGTCAGGCCGTAGAAACGTCTCATTGTATTGAAAGTTATTCGTCCAGCTTTCGAAAACGTTTGAATAAAACTCAAAAGATAGATCTTGATTTTCCTCAGATTGTGACTCAACGTTCGTTGCAGTAGTCTTCGACTTTAATGATTAATCTGTCATTATATGTTTATGAAATGAAAAGTAATTATATTATGCAGACAGTGATATAATGAGTCTTTTCGTTTTTTGAAATATTGTTATTTTCGCATAGTAATAGTCGTGTAATATTTGATAAATATCTTCTATTATTCATTTGTTACAATGATTTAGTTGATTCTGTAACAAAGATGATAACTTTACTCCTACACAATATTTACTATTGAGTCCACCTTTTGTGAAACACGATCTGGAAGGAGTGTTGAAGTAGATAGGGTAGAAATTTGGACCCATCCCTCGGCCTTCCCACAGACCGTGACAGAGAAGCTCCACAGGCCATCACAGATCGTGGTAGACGGATTCCAGAAAAGGAGTTTTATCGTGTTTCACATTTTAATCCCACAGGGATTGCGCTAACAGCTTCTAAAAGTCGATCTTCATTTAGCCAATACTAAATAACAAGCGATGTGTAGTAACAATGATTTATTATGGATCACAAACAAAAATTGATTATAAACGTAATTGTTTTTATCATGAAGACGACGAAATCATTGTGATGCAGCAACATTGTGGCGGAGAAAATGTTATTGTTTATAAAGATGCATTACAACCTAATAGTAATTAAAAATAGTTGATTTACTGTATTAAAATAATTCAATAGGATTTTCTTTTTATAGAAATATTTGAGTTCGAATCTCGAAGACATCCTGATTATCCATTTGCATTAACATTTTATGTAAATGGTCTTATCGATAATCGTTTATCAATTTGTTGCGAATCGAGATACAAACACAATGTAAGACTAAGTGGAAAACGCGGCCTTTTCGGTATAGTAAACGTTCAAAAATCGAAAGCATGCAAGAGGTTCTTTTTTTGTGTAAATGACGCCATTGTTATCATTGAAAACATTTTTGTTTTAAATACAAAAATAGATGTCAAACTGAATTACGAATGAAAAAATTAGCAAAGTTAAAAGCTAAAAATAAACCAATGAGTGCTGATATGTTATCGACGGATTCGAATCCGACTGAAACAACAAGTCCTGAAGCAACCATGAGACGTGCAATGGCTTCACAAGGTTTGTTGAGAATGTCATTTGTTTAAAATCAAGAAAACATCTTCTTTAGGACGCTATGAATCAGCATCCCATTTACCAATTGAAGTATAATAACTTATTCTATCCAGCTAATACCTATATGCTATCAGACTGTTTTAGCCCGATCAACAAAAAGTAACAACTGATTTAGCAAGACGTAGCTTAATAACGTTTTGTATTGAATAAGATTTGTCTTTTGTAAATTTATTCTCTAGATATTAATATACTAAACGAAAACCTGCTTTTCGAACTCGTATGTTTTCTTAATTTTGATAGAATTCTCTGTATACAATCTGTATTTATTGCTAGGACAAAAATCTACGACAAGAAGTTCCAATATCAAAACAAACTTGTAAACTAAAAACCTTACAATTTTTTAGTTAAATCTATTTCATATTTTTATGTTTAGCTGATAGCGAAAGTTATGAATCCATTGTTTCTGCTGCCAAAAACAGTAGTCATAAAAAAGCAATCATACTTCAGCAATCAAACACAGATTTCAACACTCTTAACGGCGATTAAAAAAATTGATGCCGACTAATAACTTTTAATAAATACGAAAAAAATAAAAGAATTATTGACAATATTGAACTTTTTCACATATTTTAAGTCACTACCCTTGTCAGAACCTCTTGTAGTAAACATGTTTGTTGCATACATTCCAATTTTAAGACAACGAGAAAACCGTACGACCTCTTGACTATACCAGTGAACCTCAATGTTAAACATTTGATCCCGTTTATTATGGCAATAATGTGCATCAGTTGATAGTGACCACTGCACACAATTTCTATCACCACAATTGAAAGAATGAGGCAATAGACAAACAGTACCTTCGCATCGAAAGCTTGGGCCATTTTGACATCCTAATATCGTATTCGAACAAGAAGGTTCGTCCGATCGATCCAAACATCTCACACCAATCGAGACATATCAACGGAGAACCACGATTACATTTCATGTGCACATAACAGGTACAGTTTGCATAATCACCGAGTATTCTTTTCGAATTGAATGTAATGTCGGCAATGTTTGTGAAAGTTTGATTCAAAGCAAATCTGTATTGGCAAAATGAGCCAAACCATGATGCAGCGCAATTATAGAAAAGTTCCATTGATGAAAAGTTATTCGTGTCTAAGAAATGCTGATAACGTTCGATAAGATCAATTTCACTTGACCATTTGATTAGACTTTCAACAGTTACACTTTCTCTTTTCAGTTGATCAAACGTTAATCTCGGCGCTACTGATCCTTCGACGACGTCATATTTCTCTTTTGAAGATAATCGAATGCAATACTCAATAAAATGTTGAATTTCATATTTTTTGCCATCAAGCTCTTGCTGTGTATCTATCATATGAAATATACAATCGTATGAAAAATCATAATTGATTACATCCGTATTGTACAGATTGTAATAATAACGCCATGCCTTGGAACAGCAATGCATCAAAATAAAAATGATAACAGTCTGTATTAATTCCATGTTTGTAGTCAGAAACTGGCGTCAGATATTGTTGCAATTATAAAGAAAGTTCTCGTGATATTTTTTGCGCAGAATTAGCCTGTCAAGCAAATAATCATTGTTCTAATCATAAAATTTCTGCGCATAACAATGGATAGAAAAGCAATATATTGCAGTTCGTTTTTGCCAAACTCTACATTAAAATATTATAAAAAGTTAATTGTAAGAGACAGTAATTTGAATGCAATGAAATTTGATCTAGAGTGGATTAAGATGATATTCACAGTTCTTTGAGTTTTCAAGAGTTTGTTTTTCCATTGAATTGATGGCAGTAGCATTCTTTTGAATTTTGTCTTATCAGTCAGTAGAGCAGCGAAATTTCCAAACAAATATGAATGTGATTAGTTCCGACTGTTTGCTATCGATTTTTACGCATCCTGAAATAAGAAGAGGCAAAGTAATAGATAAAAATTAACCTTTTTTTGGCAAAAACAGAAATACCGATCAAAACATTTTCTTTGTACGAGCAAGATTTCAATCAACACAATTCCACGGATCACATTAGTTCTATTTCACATAAAATGAAGAAATTTAATAATATAGCCTGCGGAAAAAGATGTCAAGCAACTTGAATTCGATGATCAATATTTGAAAAAATCTCAATCGTAAATTTCATCATGGAACTGTTTTTGGGGTAAACATGATCTTCTATCTATGGCTATAAGCTCCACAACGTTGTAGCGATATTCGATTGAAATGTGCATTGTTAGAGTCGAATGCTTTTGCAAAATCAAGCGATTTAACACTATGTAATGTCTAAAACGTTGCTCGTTCATGTTGGTTAAGATATGCTCCTTTAACGGTGATGTGTAGATATCTTTGTTTTAAGATCACCTTTCGGGTTTGAAAATTTAAAGAACACTTATTTTAATGCCCACAAACAAGTCTTTCTTTTCTTTTTGTAATTTTGCCTAACCGAGTAAAGAGAAAGTAATATTATGGAGAGATTTAATTGCGACAAAAAGAATGAGAAAAAGAGTACATTTGCTTATCTAGTAGTTAGTGAAGAGCGCGATTAAAATGACGGGATATGCAATTTGACGATTCATTTTCGTCTTCTGAGTCACTAATGGAAATGAGAGCACTTTATTGACTCAAGGTCTCATTTTGATCAATTGTGACTTAAACTATCGACGCTGAGAAAATATTAAAAATGGCTTCTATTTTTCACTGAAAAATATTTGTTTACAGGATTCCTTCAAATATTTCGAAAAAAAAAAGAATATTTTTTTAAGTATAAAGAAAACTACTTAAAAATTTACAATACAGTTTTTTCAAGCATTTGGCTTGAATAACATAAGTCGGGTTCATATTTCAGGACGAAATATTGTATTCAATATTTTTCAAATCAACTTTTTGTATAAGTCTGTCTTGATGAGCGTGCATAGCTAGCTTAGTCAATCTGTAGATGCTTTACAATGTTTTCCTTTATGTTGCTGGTCATGACTATTGGCAATGAGAGAAACCGAAAACAGTTGAGATTTCAAATATATTCTATTCGTTTTTTCTTCAAGGATTAGTGTCAATGGAAGATATATGAGTTTTTCTTCGTTACATTCGTGATTCTCACTCTTGCTTGTCTCAACAGAAGTGCTTTCTTTTACACATTAAATAGTAGAGAACAGTTTATTAATAAAAAAAATAAGCATTGAGAAGATTTCTGATAGAAACATTAGCACGTAATTTATACGAGCGCTGACGAAACAGGCGCCCTGTTCTTTACGCATACAAAATGTTTCGCATTTTTATTCTGAATTTTCGTTGTTAAATCAAAACATCATCAGTAGTAGGCAAGACACATTTTTAATGCCATTTCGAGGTAGTGGTATTTTTGGCGAACTTAACAATCAACTGTAGAAAAAGAAAAGAAAAGAAAAGAATGAACGAACGAAAAATGATCCAGATTCATAATATTAAAAAGAATGTAACGTTTGTTCTATTTTTGTTTTCTTTGGATGTTCGTGTGAGTATGATTTTTCAACGGCACGTTTTTCAGACTAATCACATTGTGAATTAATACAAACGCGTCTGAAACAGAAACATCAATACAATCATTCATTTTTTTTATGAAAGTTAACTAGTCGTTAAGATATGTTAGTTGACAAAATTAGTCCTATCTGTTAAAAATGACTTCAATAATTCAGATCGCTTGTAAGAGAAATCTCATCGAAATCAAACACATTGTTTAAAGCGCCAGGAGAAGATCACAGATCATTATATTTACTTTAATTATTTGATGAAGTAAAAAGTATTTCAAAATTACATTTTTTACATTCGTTGCCATTGATGATTTGACTCAAACATGATGTACATGAAAGATGCTCTCTGTATTATTTTCAAATAAAATCTATGGTATCGTTCAAACGTCTGATTTATGTGATTTTCATGTCTAGAATGCCGTAATATCGTGAATAACATGAATGCAACTTGATTATCAAGTTATCATCCAAGCAGACAAACTTTTGGGAAAACGCGTTTAAACACTCAATCGAGAACCGCGATTGTGAGTCGTTAACACTCATTAACGCAACGGAAGAAGCGCGTTTTTTACGCAGAATTCTCACTTTCAGAGTGTGAAAACGAATAAAAACTTCAATTCTGAGCGTTTAAACGCACAATTATTCGATAACTTAAAAATCAATTCGTTTGAACGCTCTGAAAGTGAGAATTCTGCGTAAAAAACGCGTTTCTTCAGTTTCGCTAATGAGCGTTAATGACTCAATCGCAGTACCCGATTGAGTGTTTAAACGCGTCCTCCCAAAAGTTTGTCTACTTGGGCATCATTCATATGCAAATGCGCAATAATTTATGATAAATATCAATCGACACTGTTTTGGTTTCAGATTGAAATAGAATCAATAAAAAAAAGCACGCTTTTAGATTTTCTAATCTTTTAACGCATCCATCAAAAACTTGAGACTAAACCTTCTACTCTCCAACAATTATTTCAACAGTTCTCAATGTTATAATGAACCAATTCTATGTTTTCATTTTGTTCGTAGTTTTTATTACAATCGGTTATGCAGGTCTTACTTATGTTTACTCTTCCTTGCCATTTCCTCAATTTTATCGGCAAAGACAAGATGAACTAACAAAAATCTTACAGAACTATGATGATACCAGAGGATGGATCTCATCATCACTCTACGCTGAACTGAATTCCTACATTGCAACTCGTAAGTATACAACTCGTAACGTCAAGAAGACCTTTGCCATAAAAAATCATACAGCAACAAATCTTCCATTAAATTATGATTATATTGAATTTATCAAAGACGATCGTACGAAAATCTATCCTTATTCATCATGGAAATGTTCCGAAACATCAAACAGTGATTTCGAAACAAGTGGCGGGTATTGCGTTTTAACAAATATCTATTATCAGTCATCTACTGACCTGTACTATTTTTTCCAAGATCCATCATCTCAGGGACAACCAGATACGAGAAGAGATACATTTATGGTTCCTTACGGTGTTTTTAAATTAAACATAACTGATAATATTAAAATTATAGAAAGACTAAATCTTGCAGCTATCTTGACGCGACCACTTTTAATTAATTATCCGCCTGATACTAATTATGCGCATGGCTTTCTTGAAACATGTGCTCCTCGATTTTGGACATTAGCAGAATGTCAATCACATCCATCTTATATTGATCCAGCGAAAATTCAGATTTATTTTACATCATATCTTCTTCGTTATCAACCAAATAGGGATAATTACCATCGACAATCAGATGGAACTTACATTCCTGTAAGAAGATGGGAACAAATGATTCAATCAATGTTTTCTATCTATCCACTATTAACATATCAATCATTCAATGGTTCAACTGTTATGTTTCAGTATGCATTATTGACAGGCGACAACAAGCCTCGAGTAGCAGCTTGGGGCCACCACTATACAACAAATCGAATGTTTCAGTCATTTCCATTTCCAACTGTTCATTATCGTCGAGCTTACTTAGCTTATTCTGAATGGATATTGAATAGTTTTAATCTTAAATCGAAATTTGAACTAACCTCAGTTCAAGAAGAATTACAGCATAAGAAATTATCCGAACAAATTCCTGTTTGTGATCAAACATGTTCTGATCATAGAAAAAATAATATTTCATCGAATGAATTCACTGGTGAATGGATTGTTGTTCTTAATCGTGTTGGAATTCGTCGTCGTGAAATGATAAATGCTGATGAATTAGTGCGCTATCTTTTAAAAGCATTTCCTGATCGTAAAAATCCATATTTACGAGTTTGGCCTAAACAATTTAATTTTAACGACAATCTGTACGACACAGCGCGAATGGCTCGATCAATACGTTTACTAATCGGTGTTCATGGAGCAGGTTTATCGAATACTTTATTTATGAGACCAGGTGCTATTCTATATGAAGTTAACCCATATGGTTGTCGTCACTTATCATTCAATTTTAAACGTTGGGCTAACGTTTTTAATCTTCAACATGCTTTATGGGTTCCATTTAAAGGAGAAAATGGTCAAACAGATGACGTTTGTGATCGTGAAGGACCGACAACGTTAAATATAAAAGACATCATTAATGAAGTAAAAGGTTTGCTAAAAGATGAAGCTGAATATCGAACGGGCTACTTACGACGAGCATTAAAGATAATCACAGATACGTCAATTGTCGATCGTCCACCATCAGGTTTTGAAAACATTTTATAGGCTTGATAGTTCACGTATTTTTTGTTCTATTACAAAATCTTTCATATATGAAATCAAATGATTTCTGCATTATAAAAACATTCGATGAATCAGATTCGAAACGAACATGAGCGTTGACTCGAACTGTATCAACCATAATGGATAAAGTTTTATTCCAATTAAAAAGACAATACTGTCTAGCTGATGGAAAAAAGCATTCGATAGAGTTGAAAATTTTATTTTTTTCTTAAATTAAACAGTGCAATATGCATCGTTTGTACCCATAAATGTATGATCGCAATGTTTTGGTTCAAAAACTTTACATTTCTCTTTACATGCTTTTACTATGCATGTTGTATCAACAAATGATTGAAGTGCCACTGGTTTACAACGAAGACCAGAACAACACGAACAAACGCATTTTAATGAGCTACCAGCAGTTGTTGAAACTGGACGGCCTGTTGTTGAAATTGGACGACCTGTTGTTGAAATTGGACGGCCTGTTGTTGAAATTGGACGACCAGTTGATGTTGAAAAACCTAATTGGCCATAGGCAACAGCTAAACATGTAGCAAATAAACACGAAAAGATTAACCAATAATTCATGATCTATGTAAAAAAGAGAAAATTATACATAGATAAATTAGTTCCAATACGAAAATGCTTCGCATTGAATAAGTTCTAGAAATTTCTACATAATATCAATTTTTACCTTAGGTTTTCTCTTGAATTGAGTGTATTTTTATATTGCCGATGAAATGGTAGAAACAATCTATTGTGCATATATCTATCTATCTTGTGTTTGAAGAGTGATGCCAATGTGAAAATGACCGCATGTTACTTATGTGATTCTTTTGAGTTAAAATAAAATAAAATAATATTTACTTTCTATATCAATAGTGATAGCATTGTCAAAATATTGATCAAATAAAACAAAATGATTTTGTTGATAAATTTTAAGTGTACCGAAAAACTTTTAAATCTTATTTTATATTTCATGATGGTTAACACGTGTGAAACAGTTGTGCATTTCTTCATCAATTATGATTGTGAATAATCGATTTTTGTTTTTCACCTTGACAAGAAAAAGACAGATTTTCATTTCTTCACTGTTAAATGCGAACAAAAACAAAAACAACTCCACTTTTCCTTTTAAACCAAAACAACTTTTTCAGCGCATCGAAATTCATTTCGCAGATGTATGTAAAATGAAACGAATTCCGATTCAAACGAACAAACATGGCATTTAGTCAACTATTAAAATGTGTCAAATGCAGGTCGAACGTATGTATGAAATAGACGTAATATGTATTTGAATGCAAATTATTTGTTTTGCTTAGAATGAATTTACCAGACGTAAATTATTCTCTTTTTCGATTGTTAACGAAATTTCAGAAAATGTTGATCAAGAAAATTTTCAACAGTTCAATGAGGAAGTAAACATTTAGAATATACACAAACGAAGTAATTAGAGTTGTTGTTGTTGTTGTTGTTTTAGACGAAAGATACTTTACCTGGCCTTACTAAAAAAGAAGCGGATGATGCATTTTCTGAAATATGGAATCAGCTCGTTGAATCGAAAAAAATAGTTTATGAAAAAGAGCTGAATGAACGAACGTTTATTCATACACCATCAGGTAAACTATTTCGATGGTCGCAAGGCATTAATAATGGAAACTGGCCAGTCACTGGCCGCAGTTTATGGATTCTTATGAATAACTACGAAAAATCAATAAATGATGAAGATATAAAACTTAATGACGATGGTTCTATTTGGGTTGTACCACGTTGTTCAACAGATTGGCAACAAGAATATATTGATTTAATGTTAGATCGTCTCATTGGACATCTGACTATTGTCAATGAAGTTAATACGAATCGAGTTTTTCTCATTGGTATTTCTTCATCAGGAGGTGATGGTGTCTTTCAGTTAGCACCACGTATGGCAGATCGATTGGCAGCAGCCAGTGTTATTAATAGCCATCCAAATAGTGTATCACCCTTGAATCTGCGAAATCTTCCATTCGCCATATCTATGACTGGACAGAATAGCAGTGATAAAAATAAGTCAGCAGCTCGTGTGTGGACACAATCATTAGAACAGCACAGTAGAGAAAGTTTTAATGATGGTTATCACTATCGGATAAAAATTGGCAAACTGGAAAAACAAAGACACGATACGATAGTCTGGATGAATAATCATAGTAGAAATCCATGGCCAACACGCATAGTTTGGTGTCATCGAGGTTATTTGTCAGAAAAACGTTTTTATTGGCTGGCTCTACCAATCGCAGGACAAGTAAAAAATGGAGAGACAATTGTAGCTGAAGTGAGAAATCGAAAAAATATTTACCTTGAACAAATACCTGAAGAAATCAAAGCACTTGCAATTAGGCTATCGGATAAATTAGTCAATCTTGATCAAACAGTGACTGTTAGTATAAATAGAGAGACAACAACGACAAAGATCTTTCATGGTATTGTACCTCGTACTCGAACAGCTATCGAACAATCACTAGAAGAACGAACTGATCCAATGAGTGTTGCTACCGCATTACTTCATGTTATTTGGGTAAGTTTATTTCTTAATCGATTAAATAATACAGTTATCTATTTATATTATTAGAGTTCAAATGGATCCATAGTATCTTGTCATTCACCAGCTAATACAGAACTGGCGTGTCCTGTATGTTGTCTTCGAATGTGAACTTTTTCTTCTATACTTAACTGAATACTATGATTTGTATATGTTTCAGACAATAAAAACTAATGTGTAAATTAATTTTGATTAAATATTATTTTAACTTCAATATTTAGATGAAAGTCAAATATTAAACTAGATGGTATTCGAGTTTCACTCGTATACGAAATGCGATGCGAAGTACGAATACGGATCTTCACGAAAAATCTTCAATTCAGAGAAATCTTGAATGCATTCTATGTCGACATGATGAAATTCATTCCTGATAAAACTCTATTCTTACTTGGCGATACATTCTTAAGGGTCGATCTCGATTGATCGATTAATTATCTCCATGATTCATTATCTTAGACCAGCTGTAAATAAACTCGCGACGGGCTACATGAATGCTTCTGCTTCGCACCGCATTAAAAAATTTTAATCCACATAATGACAGTTCGAATTTAAATGTAAAAATGCAAGATTAGCATGTGCACTATTTTAAATCATAATTGTGATCGTCAGAGATACGCTAGTTACCCTATTGGCCAAAATATAAAGAAAAACAAAAGAATTGAAATCGATTTGATTGATCGAAGACAACAAAAGCTAATAACAATATTTAAATCTGAACGAGAATTTTCATAGATTTCTAGTCGCGTGAATGAATTCATTATTTTCTTTAGATTCTCATAGAGTGATCAGATATCGATGTTATGATTTGTGTTTTTTTTAAAGAGTACTTAATTGATCATAGATTATATAATTTAGGTTAGTTTTTATTCAAAATTCGATGTTTAATAGAAAAAAAAAATGAAAGCAATTAATTATCGAACAGAAATAATATACATATGACTACATGTCTTCGTCATAAATCATGCGAGTATCAACTCTTTGACTTTGACGAATATTTCCTTCCGGTGGTCGTAGTTTAACAGCCGGTCTGTGTTTTAACGGTACATTCATAGATAACTCTGTGCTTGTTTCGTGGGCTGATGTTACAGTTAACGATTGCTGACTTTGATTTGGATCAACAGAATATGAACTTTTGCCGTCATTTTCAATGTTCGCTGATGGTGGTAAATTATTCCAGCGATATTTTCGAATTACATAGTAAATAACTCCACAAATGAGACCGATCAGTAAGAGTATTCCAAGCACTAATAAAATAATTCTTATGACATTGGAACCTTCTTTTTCTGCAGGTGATTTAATATGAGCAGGTTTCCTGTGAAATGACATTGGTTTCGTTTGGTTTTTTGGTTTTTTAGTAGTAGAGCTTTTAGCTGAATGGGAAGCAGCAGGCTTCTTAGAAGAATAAGAATGTTTAGTTGCATCAGATGTATCAGACGTGTCCGAAGTATCAGGATTATCGATTGAAGCGCTATCCTAAAAGATAATTATATCATTAGCACTTTAAATTCTGTATCGGAAGCCTATCCATTCTGATACTTGGTAACTTTTTTAATTTCTCACTAGTTAAAACGGAGAGCAATTTTAATTAAGATCGGTTTTAGAAGATTTGGTTGATGTCGAAAAATGGAAGTTTAGTTTAATGTATGCATCTCGCGAAATACATATTGTTGTGAATAAAATCGGTATTCAAATCTAGAAAGTTCGCTACAACGAACGCAATACTTCAGTCGATTGACTATTTTCGTTTTTCGTTTTCTATAACTCAGATTATAATTTTATCATGAAGATAATAATCATGAGTAATTGCATTGGCAATATTTATATTCTTTATGAAAAATAGCTATTCCGGTGTGTCACAACCTCATAATGAAACTGTGAAAAAATACAAGGTCATTAGTAGGATGCTGCTACAAAAACAGATGCAAGAAGTTACTAATTGACATTTTTAGTAATTAATTTTGAAAATGACTTCGAATGTTTAAGATAAAATAAAGAGAGAAATGCTATTTTGCGGCTCTTTAAAGTGATAAGCTGATTTCCTATACATACTGGTATTGGTAGATCGAGCACATACGCCTCAGGATCGTCTGGTTCAGAATCTGCTTCGGCTACTTGTTTCAATTCAGCTTCCATTTGTTCTATTGTTGGTTTTTCTTCGGCACCTGGATTATAATAACAAGCATAATTGGTATCATCTAAAACTTTTGCATGCATTAAAGGACATGGGTAATCTTCATCACTAGTAAATATTAATCGACAAATAATTGGATGATCTGGAAACCATATATAAATTCTTCTTTCTTTTGGTGTAGTATTTTCATTGAAGTAGGTCGTATCTGCTGCTTGTTCGCTTGATATTATAGTCCCCATCACGTTTGTCGCCTCCTGGTTGATTTCTAACACGTATGGTTCTGTTGATTGATCTAATTGGCCCTCGACATGCGAAATAAATTCAATATATCCAGGAATTGATCGTTGAATAGTTTGTTCTTCGTGTACTTCACTGTCATCCGAAGAACAAATAAGTTTGAGTTCATTCCAAGTAAAACCAATGTACTGATTGTGATAGATTTCACCTCTCCTATCACATGTTACGGTAGTACTTATTACTTGCTCGCCGACATCTGCTAATTGATATACTTGCACTTGATTATCTGAGCAACGGACTACATTTAAACCATTCATAAAAACAATTTTTATTTGACTTTCAATAGTAAGATAAATAGGAAGAATACAGATAAAAATAACTAACCCAAGAAGATAACAAATAGAAATTATATAAGACATAAGAGAAGTTAATCAAGAAGAATAAAAGTTGCGCATTTTTTTTCTAACCGTAATATTGAATTTAAAAAAACATCGTAGTAATTTTAGTACGAAAAGAAACGCCAATAAAATATTTTTTCCATTCGTATTTATGAGATATAATAATGTATAAATTCATTATCTCCGAGATGAAAAACGTTTTCTTTTAATTTAACTGATCTTCCGCGAAGTCTAATTGAAAAATGAGGAATAAAGATAGGCGGCTTTTTTGTTATAGCCCTAAAAAACGTAAGAAATACTCGAAGTGAAGTTCAAACATCGTAAAATTGATTGCTTGCCGACCTACGTTTGATAGTGACTACAAATATACGTATGTTTAGAGAAACGTTAAATAATTTATATTCATTTTTATTCCTGAGAATAAGCGCGTGGGTCAGAGATGACCCCAGAATAGGGCGATCGAATTCAAGTGAAGCATTATCAACGGTATTTCTTTATTATGGGACAATCCTTTTTATTGTAATTACAAAAAAATTTGGAACATTATTTATTCACTTTTGATTAACTCTTTACCCCCCATAGCAATTCCAGATGAGGTGCCAATAAACTAATTATTTAAATTAAACACTTGCTGTTCAAGTATGCATATGGTATGTACAAATCAAAGAAATATCTAGTCCCTTGTCAAGTAAGCATTGGTCACTCCAGTGACCATTGGGGGGAAACCACATAAATTTTTTATTTTTTAGAAGCAAAATTTTTTATTTTTTTATTGAATAATTTGAAGTAAAAAATATGAAAAGGTAAGGGGAAATTATATTTAAATTCAAATTTATTTTTAATGACTATTTCAGAAAAAGAATGTGTTATTTGAATAGCTAGCTTAACAGAAAAGCTTTTAACACGTTTACATTGAATTTTTAGTATGATGAGAGATAAAACAATTATGCTTAGAATGTAAGCATCAATGAATATTGCATTCAGTACAAGTCTATTTAGAGAAAAACAAATATCCGAAAGATATCAGAAAATGTTATACCATAGACTTTATCGTTCACGTTTAATAGCAGCACAGCACGCTTGTATTTCAAAAGAAACGTCATCTTCACTCTTGCACTCATAAAAACACCAACCCTGAGCGTAGCTAACTGAAAAAACATGTATTTAAAAAACAACTTTTAGGGCGTCTCCCCCCAATGGTCATTCAAATGACCATTTTTCTTCTTACTATCTTTTATTTGCTTAGCTTTTGTGCAACTTTTGAAAGGGAGTGATATCAGTAGTGGGCATCATCATCATTATGTACCACACAAGAACTTTCCGACATGTATTTCGTCTGCTGATAGAAAACCATTTTTCCGAAAAGAAAACGTTTTCGTGATTTTTTCAAATTCTTGAATTTTAGGACCTATCTTTTTCGGGCATACAGTAACTAAACAAAATATTTTTTTTTGCAAACGGTAGTTCATAGAGTTCATCACAGAATATAAGTAGAAAAGTTTTATTTCTACGATTGCTTTTTGTTTCGCAGTCGTTCTACAAATGGTAACTCCAGTGACCTCAAGGGGGTAAAGGGTTAAAAAGCAGAACGCTAAATTTTCAATGAAAAACTAATCATTAATCGTATTTTGGTAATTTCAAAGTAATCAAAGGTAAATAGAAAAAATTCATGATAAGAACGACGAATATATATATATATATATATTGTAGGTACTTTATACTAAGTAGTGTATATGCTAGATTCACTATGATGATTGCATGAGCGATAAAGTAACGGTTAATCATGTTTCTATTCTATTTGACATCCAAGGCTACAAACTTAAATTATGATAAATTAATTTTTTGCCCTGAATAACAAGATACGATAGATAAAACAGTAACGAATAGCCCTGCCGCCATGGATTATTGGCCTTGTTTAATCATGAGCATATCTTAGAACGTATTTTGTCTGTCAGTCAACCGCTTTTTTTTCTATGTCATTGATGTTAGTTATTTTTTGGGTTTCTCTTGTGCATTTTTCGGCGAATCGAACACTTTTTTCTCGTTCTGTTGCATTGCGTACTTTTTTTTTTCTTTTTTTATTACAACGCAAATACCTATAGCGTTGATATTATTCGTTTTTAGTTCTTTTTTCATTATATTTTACTTGATAATCTTAGATAAGAAATTTCAGGCAGAGTTTTTGTTTTTCACTTTATCTAATTGGCAGTTCGTAGTTTTACTTGAAAAGTTGTTGCCTAAAAAATGAATTAAAATGAAAATTTCGTTTCTTGTTTTAGTTAACCTATGGTAGAAAAAATGAATTTTAAATTGCTAACAGTACAATTTTCAATGCTTCACATGCTATTAATTTTCTTCAAGATTTCCATAAATTTAGTCGTCGATTCGATTCGGTTGTGTTCGTTTATTTTTGAACATATGGCTTTGGTTTTGAATCTTTCAACAAATTTGACCTTGACATTATTTGTTAACAATACTTTCTGTTGAATTTTAGCAGGTTGTTTTTTTCTTTTCATTGACATATTCATCATTTAAGATGCGTATGTATTGTACATAGTTGTTCATATGAAAACGCACCATTTTCACTGTACAACAGAACATAATTATTTTATAAATACGGATAAGATGAAAAACTGATCACTTTCAATTATAATTGGATGATTCTAAATAAGATGATTTGAAGATCGCAGAAAAAAAACGACCGAACGGAGTGAAATCCTATTTTTCAAAACTGCATTATTGTCTTATCGCAGTTTTTCCCATTTGGGAGAAAATAGAAACCAACAAATCAAAGATGTTTGTACTTTTCTAGCTATCAATGTGACAAATCACTTGCTACATATTTGTTTTTTCGGTACGTGTTATTCATGCACTTGTTGTGTATATATGATTCGCTTTTTTTCTAAATACAATCATGTACGACTCGCCTAGCTTAATTATTTTTGACATCGTGGTTGTCATCACACGAGCATTTCAAAAAACAACTCACGTCCCGCTTCTGACTTTAAAACTTCGAATAAGGACTACGGATGTAATAGTACAGTCAGCGAGTACATGAAAAATAGTGTACAAACACCATTAGCATCGCACGCATTGACGACAGTAATCTTGATCATGTATTGAACTAATTGAAATGCTGTGTCGAACATTTGTTTGGCTTTTGTAAGAAGAAATTTTGCAACAGTTTCTTCTAAATGAGAACATAGACTGAGAAATTGGATGCTCAAACATTGGAATCAAAGTGCCGACAACTCGGCATACTAGAATCCATAGGACCTCAACACAATGATATTACGTCTAGCGTTGATTTTATTTCCATCATTTGTTTTTTTTTCTTTCTTTTACACTCTTTTACGTCAACATGACACTGCATTCGTGTATATTTGATCATGAAGCGCTTTTTTAAACCCTTTTCGTATCTAAAAGAACATCTTCTCGGCATGATTTATTTTTGGCCCACGCATCAGTTGGTTTCATATTGGCCGTCTCTTATCTCGATTCGAAGTAAACATTCATAAATGAGTTCAATTGTTGTGAACAAAGATATTCACTAATTTGTGTATTAATTAAATGAAAAATGATTTGAACACCTTTTCGAATATTATCTAGTGTATGAACAGGCTCGATTCACCGAAGTTTGAAATTATTAAACAAGATAAAAGATAATTCAATGAATCGTTTTCAGTCTAAGCCAATTATCAAAGTAACGAGGGCAATCTTGTTTACTCTGTGGTAAAAATCGCTTAGAAAATTATTCAAAAAATAAAATATGCTTTCAGAACAGGAAATTCTTCGTAACATCTCTCAAAGGAATGTTAATAAAGAGATATTCAGTTCCACGATTGTTCATGGCATAATTAGATTATGTTTTTTTTGTCTAATTTTCGAGAGTAAAATTACAAACATATGTGTTACTGTTGTAAAGTACTCAGTGACGTTGCGAGTTACGATTATTATTGAATATTTTTAAAATCCTAGGAACAAACTTTTGATATTTTTCTTTGTCAGTACTGTGACTTATAATGATGATAATCCTATTTCTATGATAGAAAAATGGTTGAAGATTCTGTTGATACTTTTGTCGTTTCATTATCCTGCATGATCTCAGAATTAAAAAATACTGACAACAGGGGGTACCTTTTTCCGATGATAAAAATAGTTTTATAATTGCCAGAATTGTAATTTACTAACGGCTACGATGAATTTTTCAAATAGCTTGGAGATATAATTGCTTTTTTTCTAGAGAGATACTTTATTACGTACATTAACTAAATGCTTCACTATTAAGTATTTATTTCAATATAAATTTTATCTTTTCGTCTATTTATAGATCTCATTAAATGAATATTTATGTTGAAATTTTAATTCAAGACATTCAGAATTGATTGTATCTTAACCAGGGTTGCCACCTTGTCAGATCAGAAAAGCGGGAAAAAGCTGCTTTTTGGTGACCTGCCACATTTCTAAGAGTTTAAGTAACCTTGTTTTACTGTTCATAGTACTGCTTTATTCGCCGTTCCACAACATAATAGACAACTCACAAAAAATATCAGGGTGTACCTGACCTAAAAACCCAAGAAGAAGAGATACACGATATTCGGTCCAAAAATAAATGTCTCTTCTCTCTCAATTCTTTTCCTACGCATCTTTTCGAAAAGAGCCATGCAGTGAAAATGTTCGTTTTGTGATGGTGAAGTGATCGTATGGTGACTATCAGTTCATTATTTTTCACAGAGAATATACCACCGAAGGCGGCTCTTTTTTGACGCAGCACTTTAAAAGTTTATGCGAAAAGCATGCAGTCGAAAAAACTGAAACCCATTTTCCGGAGTAATGCAACAAAAAATATATATTCCTTTCAACGATATAGCCGCGAAGATGGCTCCTTTTTGGCACACAAATTAAAACATTGACCTGAA